TCTTCCCCACCTTTACATTTCTATTTTCTGGGGAGGATCCACTATTCTGTCTCCTGAAGCCATAAGCCTCTTGGCTCTGCCTTAAAAATAGGCCTTGCAAAGAGGAGAAATACCCTCCACTGTCTGGTGATATCGCTGCAACCAGCATAGTCTTCACCTCTCAAAGGAACTTTCTCTTGAAGGAAAAGGAAATCAGTGTGAATCTTCAGTGTGCACAAAAGCTTTGGAATGTCTTTGAATTGTAGGTGTTGCTGGACAAGCGTTTTCTCTAGCATCTTCATTTATTCAGTAAAGACTTTCTCCAGCACTTCCCTTGTGCTAAGTCCCATCCAAGGCACGTGGAGATAGTGAACAAAACAAAGATCTCCACCCTCGTGCAGCTTATGTTCTAATGGAGAAGACAAGTAATAAGCAGCAAACAGAGTAAGAAAGTTAACAGGGTGTTAAAGGCTGTCAAGTGCTATAGAATAAAGAAAATGCAGAGCAGAAAGTAAGACAAGGCATGGAAGGAAAGAGGGCAGGTTCCTCGCCTCCATTTCTTTGGCCAGGCCCCACTGTCATTCCAACAGCAGCCTTACTGTTAAGCCCAGGGAATCGGATCATGTGCATTAAAATGTCCTCCAGGGCTGGAGGATTGTTTGAAGGAGAGGCACCCACACACGGGGTCCTAGCTAAGTTTCTGGACCATACTGTTGACTTACTAACCCCTGCACACCTGCAGGCTGGGTCAGTTGCCACGGACCTCAACTGGTTCAGGATTCAGAGAAGTATCATGTCTCATTCTGAGGGCATTAACCACATCTGGGAATTGTTGTAGGGACTCGGTTTACAGTAAGAAGAATCACAAGAGGAAAGAGTCACAAATCAAGACTCAGTAAATCAGTGATCTGCTATACACCTGAAAAACAATACGGCTATGACCGAAATCTCTCCCCAGCATCAGGATCTCTTGTTGATACTCTAGTCAGTGAACGACAAGATTCTATTATTACTTCTACATTGTCCTTCCAAGATTGAATTAACTTTACTAAAGAAAGCAGCAGAGCTTTTTAAAAGCCATTATTTAGTAGGGAACAAAAAGCTGCATTATAAAATATTAATTGTCCTAAAAATTACCTTGGAGAAAAATACTGTACTAGCAAGAAACAAATTCTTTTCTCTGCATTTCTAGTTCCATTTCTATTTAGTTCAGTATTATGTTTCATCAACCCAAGATACTCATATGGTCATGCATCTTTTACTTTTCTCATTAATTATTGCTGAAGAGCAGGAAATCCAGAATTTCTGTTTTGAAGTCTTCCACCTCCCTTGAGTTGCCCCCCTCAAAAAATGAGTGTTTACTTAGTCCAGTGGGGGTCCATCCCGTTCCTCATACAGCAAGCAGATTGGAGCATGTCCTGGCCTTCTGCTCTCTTGCTGTCTCCTTGTGGGGCTGTGGACTGGTCCTGTGTGGATTTTGTGTGAATGTGAGTTTTTATTTCTCTGAATGGCTGGGTTGTGTGATATGTCTGATTTGGGTTTAAAAAGAAATAACCACATTATTTTCCAGAGTGGTTGCTCCATTTCATATTTGTACCAGCAATGCAAAAATGAGGCAGTTTCTCTGACTCTGCCAGCATTTGCTTGTCACTATTTTTTATCTTACCCATTCTGAAAGGTATGTGGTGCTATCTTATTATAGTTCTGATTTACATTTCCGTAATGGCCAGTTCTGTTGAGCATCTTTTCATGTGCTTATTTGCCTCCTGTATATACTCTTCAAGGATATATATTTTCATGTCTTCTGCCTATTTTCTCATTGGATTTTTTTGGCAGTTTTTACTACAGGATGCTGAGTTCTTTGTATATTCCAGATACAAGTTATTTGTCAGATATGCCATTTGAAAATATGTTCCCCAACATATCCTTTGTCTTTTCACCCTCCTACTAGGGTCCTTCACAGAGCAAAAAAGGTTATTTTAATTTTGATGTGGCCCAATGTATCAATTTTTCCTTTTGCCCACTTACTTTCCACTCAAAAAATAATTACTGGATGACTATAATGATCAAGATAATGTTCCAAGAACTCATCTTTAATGGGAATTAAAGATGTGACATGGTCCCAACTTCAAAGGCATCTTCAGTCTAGTTGAGGAGACTGGAGATATACCCAAGTAGCTAATATTACAAGTGCTAAGTGGCATGGAAGAGATCTTGAGATACTTTTTTTTTGAAAATCAAGCAGATATCATGTTTTGGCTGATAGAAAAGTAGTGGGTGGAGGTCTTACCACTTCTGTGCCAGAGACACAGTACGGCATAGAAACCTCCTTTATAAACTCACTTTTTCTAGGTTAAAAATTATAATTTTTAGATAGCTACCATATATTAAATCACATTATGAACAAAGCAATTTCACATACATTGTATCAGTTAATAACAATTTTCCAGGCAGTGGAGAAGGATTCCATCATACTTTATATTTACGGAATCTAGGATTAAGCCAAGCTAAGTATGTCACTCAAGGTCACAGACAGGAAATGGTAGGGTCAGACTGGTACCCCAGTCTGGTGATTAATGCTCTTTTAATTCTACCCAGGAGCCTCCTGAGACACATCCTTTTCCTGCTAGTATAACCTCATCAATCTTCTGGCTGAAAAATTGACTGTATGACTCACATTTTAAAAGAAGATTCAGTACATTTCCTTGGTGCTCCGAAAGTCAATGGGCTCTTCTTGATTAAGGAAGAATCCTTTAAAACTCCTACAGTGGTCAAGATCATGCAGAAAATGGAAAAACAAGGACTGCCTGTGAGTCATGGGCAAACGAACAGATGGGTTTTGCTGGAATTCACTAAAATTTGCTGGATGACAGCTCAGGATGGAGCATTTTAGGCCATCTTCTTGTAGGCACATTGTTACCCAAGTCATCTTCAGATGCTCACCCCTTCATGAAGAACATTTTAAAAAATTGCTAACAGTTCTGCTGAGGAACCGAAGTTGTGCCTGCTTCTGACCTGAAGGATGACAAATAGGGAACTGGGATCTTTCCCATTCATGTCTCTGGATTTGCACCTGTACTTTCATCCTGTCTTGTGATCTCTTTAGAATCACTGAACTTGTCTGTGTTTGTCTTTCTTTTAAAATGTTCATAACTTAGAGATATTAGGACTGTTATTGTAGCCCGGTCTGACTCTCAAGTTTGGCTGCTTGTTCCTCAAAAGGCCAAGACTCGAGTGACAAAGGTTGGTGTCAAGCAAAGTTTGCTTTATTCAGGAAGCCCAAAAAGGTGGTGGATCAGCGCCCCAAGATCATCTCTGAAGTGCCATTCGGAGTAAGAGTGCTTTAAAGGGGAACTTCATGGAGTCAGTGTCTTGTGCTGGCATCCAGGAGCCTTGAAACTGTCTCAGGAATGGAATGTCCTTATCTGCAGGGGGCTACATGGAGGGAAAGGTTCACTTCTTAGCTTGTTTCAAAATGGAGTGAGTTAGGCTTTGTTAGAGCTTCCAACAGGACTTTGATTCTGAAAGAGTCTGTAGAGAGGTGAACTTATGTATTAGGTCAGTTTTGCAAACACCTGCATGATGTCACCCTGCCCTTTGAACCCAGCCCCCATTCTTGTCATGAGTGGCCTCTACACTGTCAGGCCACATGTAGAGAGTAGTCCTTTCACACTCTACGTTTCAAATCTTTACCTGCTGGCTTGGACTGCAGCTTCAGAAGCAGAGGTCTTCACAATGTCTGGGCATGAATGAACGTAAGTGCTGACATGTGGATCACCGCTGACCAGCCAGGAGGCTGCACACACATGGGTGGATTTACTCCCACCACTGTGTCTGTTCCCCCATAAGCAACCAGAATACCCAAGTCCTGGACTGACCAGGGGTCAGCATGACTGAAGCAGGGCAAATGAGTTTCCTCGGGTGGTTTAACATAGGCTCAGGGAAAGAGAAGGCTCCCCTCATTCTTGGATCTGGACCACTGAGGAGGAGACAATCTTGGTGCTACCAAGTTACCACCATGTGAGGTAAGTGGGCTTAACAAGGAAGCCCACGGGGGAAGGAGGAGGGAGAGGATGCAAGCAGAGAGGGAAAGAGATGGAGAAAGACACACACACAGAGACTCCAGTTGTACTTCCGACATCCACGAGGGCCTTAAATTAAACCTACCATTATTTTGTATAACAAAAGGTAAAAATAAGAACACTAGACAAATACATTTGGCATATTTTCTGTAGGAGGGGTACACAAGAACATGACAGCGATGGTTGCTTCCAGGCAGAGGAATTGAGAGGTTGAGAGACAAAGGGTGGGAGGGAATCTCCTTCACTGTGCGTGCATTGGTACTTCCTGAGTCTGGGACAGGGCCAGTGCTAATCAAGCATAGGTACACAAAATTAAAATGGAGTGTAAGTAAAAAAGAAGCAAAACACAGACTTTCTTCCACTTTAACCAGTTGGTGGATAAAATCCCTTTAAGAGAGGAAACCAGATCTTTAGAGAAATCAGCTCCTTTACCTTCCAAGTTCCCTACTGAAAGGTTTTTTTGCTGCTGCGGACAGGTGAGCAAAGGAGCTATGCATTTCCACTGTGCAAATGTACACGGAGAGGACAGCCTCAACCCCCGAGAGGATCCCAGGGTTTCCGGCTAACCACTGCAGCCCACAACGCTCTATTCCAGTGGAGGGATTTCCGTCCTGCAGCTAAAACTGACCATGTGTCTTCTCCGCCGCGTCGCTGGCGCGGAGGCGGTACGTCTTGGGAAGATGCCGGCCCGGCGCCTGACGGACGGGGACGCGCATTGAAGCCAGGCTGGGAGGGGAGCCTTTCAATCCCAGCCGTCTCGCAGGACCCGGAGCCCCCCGGCAGGAGCCGTGCGTTCCCCGCCCGCAGCAATCTGCGGTCGCTAACCGGCTGTGCGGCAGCCGCCGGGGCTCCGGGTGACCTGGGAGCACAGCCCTCCGCTGAGTGCCGACCCAGCCAGGGCGCGTTCAACGAACGAGCGTCACCAGCACAGTAAGTCCGTGGGAGAATAGAAGGAATCAGACAGGGATGTGTCACCGGTGACTTTAAATGCCCAGGGACTGTAACGGGAGGAAGAGCAAGCAGTCTTTGGAGAGGCGCCCCGGTTTCGGTGGGGCTGGGGAGCCCAGCCTGCCAGGACCCGGGCCACCCGCCTCTCCGCGTTCTGGGGCAATGGACAGGACACACCTTACTTCAAAGCTGGGAGCAGCCTGGGTCCGCCTGGGGGTCCTGGGCGCCGCCCAGCACTGCACTACGCAGCGCTGGAAAGACGGGCGAGGGGCGCGAGTCGCCACCCCTCCTCCTCCTCCCCACGAGCCCCGCCCCTCCCCGCGCGTGCAGCCCCCTGGTGGGCGGGGAGGAACCGGCCCTCAAAACCCCGGACCAGCGCGGCCGCGATCGCGCGCCCCCGCCCCGCACCCCCGGGCGCCTCTGATTGGTCGCGGCCCGCCGGCAGGTGGCGGCGGCTGTAACAGGCTGGCCCTGCACCCCGCCGCCGCGCGCCCGCCTCCAGCCTCCTCCCGGCTCCCGCTGCGACTGCGGTTCCGGCGGCCGCGCCCCCGCGGCGCTGCGGCCCAGCTCTCGCGCGCCCCAGACCCGGTTCCAGCGCCCCTGGCGCGGGGCTCCCAGCTATCTGCCCGCGCGGCGCTGAGGACGGTGTCCGTGGCGCGGCGGCCTGAGCCCGGCCGCCATCCAGAATCCCGGCCACGGACCTGCTCCAGCCGAGCACCCAGCGTGAGTGACGTCCCCTCCCTTCCGTAGGCTTTGCGCCGCTGTCCCCCTGCGTTGCGGCAACTTCGGGGATGGGTGTGTTGGTGTCTCCCAAGTCCCACACTGGGTGCGAGTCTTGTGCCGGGGTTCCGGCACGGCTCGTCCGCCTCTGTGGGGGCCGGGGGCGTTGGACTTGACTGGGATGGTCGCGGAATCGGAGGCACCCCTTCTCCGCTGCTGGGGCCGAGCTCGTCCCCGCACTTGCCCCGCGTTTCGATGCCCACCGGCCGCGTACTTCCGGACTGCGGCTCTCCGCGCTCCTGCTCCCCACGCGCGCACCGGTGCGGCGCCTTAAACCACCGGGCAAGAGCCTCGAGCAGTCCCACTCTGCGGACCAGACTCTTTTGGACTCTTAGTTTCTGTTAAAAGGGGCTAATCAGTGACTCGCTCAAGGTCACGGCCGGTGCGCGGAGTAGATCCGAGTACCTGACTGCCTGGAGAGGAGCCTGCTGCTGGTGGTGGCGGGGCGGACACTTCACCCTGGTCTCCTCCTCTCGCTCTCCCGCATTTACGCCGGCTTAGGAGAGTCGGGAGCCTACCCCAAGGGACCTTACAGGGGTTTGCTGTGGTCACGGGGGACTTGACGGTTGAGTGCAGAGCTCAGCGATTCCGCTTTGGGAAACCCTGGACCTGCGCTATTTGCATCATCCCTTCCATTCCCAGCTGTTTAATTTACTTTTAGCAGGGTAGCGAGATTTGCCAGCTGCAAATTTAATTTAATTTATCGGGGCAGGGGGTTTTGCCAGGTGCCTGCCCTGAACTCACTCCTGCTCCGAAGAAGCCCCGTCCCGGAGGATGAGGATCCGGGAGACTAGTTGCGCGCATGTTTGCCTAGGGACTTCTAAGGAGCGGCGCGCTCTGCGGTTGGCTCCCGTCTGCTCCTAGAAAACGCCTTGAGTCTGGCTTCGTTTCTGCCTTACTCCCCACCCCGTGGTCTGGGTTTGTTTCACGCTTTCCCAGGGGAGGGTGCAAATGCTGCCAGACGCGAATCGTTTATTCCAGATCGGCGGGGGCAGCTCCCGTGGGGCTGGGTGTTCTCAGAGCGTTCAGCTGGGGCGAGTGTCCCCGCCCCTTTAGACATTGTCACCTTGTTCTCCAGCTCTGTCTGCCCCACCCGACTCAGTGATGAGATAACTACTGAGAGAGTTTGGTGACGTGGTAAACATCTTTGAGCCTCAGCTTTTGAATCTTTAAAACGGAATCATCCGTGCCTTTTAGTCTTCCCGAGGCAGTTGCGGTTCAGGGGACATGGTAGGTGTGGACTTAGGAGGAAGATGGTTCGAGAGGCTCCGAGCTGCGGGTGGAAATGGAAATCGTAGATTGAGGAAATTTTATAGCAACCTTTTTGGGAGCCTCTTTACAGGTTTAAAAATCCTTCTTCCCAAATAAATTTCGTTTAAGACTTTGAAAATACTTTTCCATCTTCTTCTGATGTTCCTTGCCTGGCCATGGGCAGATGCCTCTCCTAATGATCCCTCTCTTATTTATGGTGTCTCTGTGGGTCTGGAGGCTGTCTCTGGGTGGGGGCTGTTCCTGTGTGTTTGGGTGCTGTGCCTCTGAGGGGCCTGCTCTATGGATCTGGAGGCTGTCTCTGTGGGTGGGAGGCTGTCTGTGGGGCTGGGGGCTGTCTCTGTGGAGATGGTTGTATGTCTCTGGTAAGGCTCTCTATGGCGTCTAGGTTTTGTGTGTGGACAGGGAGGTGAAATTGTCTGCTCCGAGATCTGCTGTTTTGAGAAAGTGAAGTGAACCATGCTCAGCAATTTAAACTAACAGATTAGCATAGATTATCTATATACTATAGGTCTAGATTGGGCCCTGTCTCCTCCATCCCTCCCCAGAGGGACAGAAGGGGAGCTTATCTGTGGCTTGGCCTTCAGAGCAGTTGGTTTGCACAGACTGAACACCTCATAGAACTGGGCATCCCCTGCTTTTGCCTTCCAGGTCGTTCCTGTGTTTGCACAGCCTTTTGCCTCAAAGGCAAGTTAATGAGGAAAGACTGGTTAACCTTGGTGACTTTGTTTTAATATTCTTTTGAGGTATAGCATAATCACAGAAAACTGCACAGATCTGGAGCGTACACTCAAGGAATTTTCTCGAACTGAACACATTTGTGTGCAACCAGTACCCAGATTAAGACCTAGAATATTTGGCCTTCCCCTCCCCCTGGCAGACTCTGCGCCCCAAGGTTTACATCATCCTGCTTAGTTTTGTCAGGCGAGTTTTATTTTTATTTTTATTATTACTTGTTTCCCCATTTTTGTTTCAATGCTAAAACGAAACTGCTTGATGCTTTCTACCTCCTTTCTTATGCCTTCCTTATGTCTGCAAACCGGAGGTCGCCACAACTCAGGCAGTCCAAGAAGCTGGAAGGAAGAGTTTGATCTTAAGGTCTGGGGGGAAGCTGAGCTGGTTGCCCCCCACCCCTGTTCAGGGGTTGTGTGACAACCCAAAGCCCAGATAGCACAGGGCTACCACTGATAAACAGAGGCCAGTTCGTTCATGGAGCAAATCGAAATAACGCAAATCCAAAACAGTGTAATAATAAAATATGAAAGAATAACTGAATGAGTTCTCATTTGAAACATAAAAATGGAAATATTTTGACTTCCTCAAAGTTAAAAATTGGTGGAGAATCACAGAATTTCAGGCTGAGTGGTTTATGGTCTGTCTGTTACCACACGGTGGCGACACGTTGGCCCGGGAACAGAAATGCCCAACATCTTTTCCCAGGCCCTCAAGTGGGAGTCCCAGGAATAAATTCCAGTGATCCAGTATCTCCAGGGATTTCCAAACACAGTTTTTTCCTAGATCTGGCAGGCAGGCCTCCCCTCTGGTGCCTGCCCCTGAGTCCACGATGAGCCACCGAAACTCTTTTAGAGGGTGGTTTGTCTGCTGGGGCAGGTGGAACTGAGACACCACTGTCCTCTCCGCTAATAGGGAGCCGTGGCATGTCCCTGGAACTTAAGAGGCCCACTGAGATGCCAGCTTAGGGGTGTTATGATCCTTCTGGTCCCTTTCACCCCAGAATTCCCCCAAAAGTGTGATTGGATGGGTTCTCTTTTCACAAAGCACTGCCACAGTGAACCTGGAAGCACAGATCGGCTGTGTGTGGCCCAGGCTGCTGCTGGACACATGCCCTTGTGTCCTTCTGGTGGGGGCCAGACTCCCAGGGGGACCCTGGGGCAGGGGGCACTGTAAATAGAGGCATGTCATTTTTTTGTGTGATTTGCTTTTTTTTACCCAGCATCTTTTTTTGATGTATATTGATAACATATGTTGATAATTATACGTCCAGCTGATTCATTTTAGTACTTCTCTGGTTGCATATCAGAGTTTAAATATTCCCTGTTTGGTGGACAAAAAGATGTTATGAAAAGTATTTCATGAAATATCCTTGATAAGATCTTGTAGAAAGGTGGACGTGTGTCGAGGGCGTACATCCCCAGAAGTTGAATAGCTAGAGATCTTTAAACAATTTTTGGTTTTCAAGGTTCCTGCTATGCATTGCCATTTTTTTTTACTAGTTAAATCTTTCAGATCTTTATATCACCTGAAATTTTTATTTCTCTATTGTGTGACACTGGGATCGAATTGTTTTCCCTATGTTCTAGCCATCTCTTTGTGATTCCTAAGCTAACACCATTTCATTTAATTATTAAAGCTTTATAATAAATCCCTTCTTAACCTTTTTCTTCACAAATCTCTTGGCTATCCTTGGTTAGCCTTCCCATGAAAAGTACTATTATCAAAATTTGGTAAAATATCAAATAAAGTGTATTTGCTTGTTTCTTTTTCTTCAAGCATAGTGCTAATCAACACTTATTATTATCCTCCTAATATTTTTTTCCCTCCTAGTAATTTCTTTCATCTATGCTCCATAATTTTATTCAAAAAAACCATTCTTTTAAAACATTAAGTGCTTTACCCTTTTTATTGTAACTTCATCTTTGTAACACATCTTTATTTTGGGGGGATGAATTACTTTGTTAAAATTTATTTACTTTTCTTCACATTTTTGAAACACATTGCCAAATAACCCTGCAGGAAAGTTTATAAATTAAGGTTGCTGTTAGTGTGTGTGTGTGTGTGTGTGTGTGCCAGATCCCAGGCCACCCCAGCAATCAATGTGATCATTCATCGGCATTGCCAATTTCATGGGCAAAGGATAAAAAACCAAAATGTTGATTTTCACTTTCTTTTCTCATGAGGCAGAAGCAGCTTCTTGTTTATTGTCTCTTCAGAGCAGATTTCACTGTAGAATTTTCCATGAGGATTGCTTCTCTTCTACTTTCTGTAAAATAAATTTGCATTACCATGTGGTGTCTTGAGAACTCTGTGGGGTTATTTTGTACAAATCATGTTTATATTTTTAGCTGTTAAATATCACTCCGTCATATGAAACCAGTGAGTTTTATTAATCTGTGCCTTAATGTGTAGATTGTTTCTGTACTTTTTCGGCTATGGCATCGATATATGCAGAACGTGTCTTTGGAATGTGTTTCTGTACAGGCGAAAGAAGTAGCTTGGGGATGTGTGTTCACAAGTGGAATTGGGGGTCATATTGTACATAAACTTACATTTTGACCACCTGGTGGCAGATGGCTCCCCGAAGTGGCTATACTCATTTAAACTTCCAAACCAGTGAATGCAGACACTGCCACATTAAGGGCACAATATTAAAGAAGAAAGAATGAATGTGTTCAAGGATAAGTAGGCATGTTTGTGTATGTAAATGTCCTGAAGTTCACTTAGAAAACTCAGAGATTTTTGACCTTTCCTTTTGAATCTTGCATCACATAAATGATTATATGTAAGTATAAGCCGTAAACACCAGATAAATATTGACTTAGCTTAGGAAAGTTGGTAAGAGTTAAGGAAAGATCAGCTGTGTATTTGGTAGTGCCCTTATTCAGGCAACCTGCAGGACTGTGAGCACCTGTCCAAGGTGGCAGAGCAACCCCCCT